TTTCCATTCTATGCCTCCTACCCTGACCCATCCACCCTCTGAAGTATGCCAACATAAATTATAACTATTGTAAGATAGATAAAGTAAGACATGACCTGCTTCAAAAAGAGAGTATTATCACATATCTCATCACATGCGCAGCCACTGGCCTCAAGTCCGTACAAACCAATACATGTCTGTAGAAAAACTGTTTTTTTAAAGGACTTGAATCATCATTGAGGGTCTTGAATTTCTATGGGGGTAAGTTTTGAGGACACATGGGTTGCTTTTTTACATTTCAGTAATACTATTTGAAATCATTCCGCAAGCTCCTACCTCTGCCATTTTCCCTGTTTGGGACAACTGCACATTAAAAGTGTGGACATTACTGTTATTGATTTGACTGCTTCATATATATATATATATATATATATATATATATATATATGTATGTGAGTAAAAATAACTCTAAGATTTAAGGTATTGCCCCTTTAAATAATCTGACATGCATTATCAGGATTCAACAATGTCATACATTAAATTTTATCCACCCAAAGTGTTGCAGTTACAGTCACTGCTGTGGTGTTTTTCCTGCCAGGACCTGTTGTGGCTGGTGTGGTTGGCACCAAAATGCCCCGCTACTGTCTGTTTGGGGACACTGTCAACACAGCATCACGCATGGAATCAACAAGTGAAGGTAAGGATTAGATACACTGCTTTTGATCCAGATAATGTCTCAACATGGCACAGTTTGTCTCAGAGAAAAAAACATCATGTTGATTTCACTTTAAATTGTTACTGTATGTGCTGAACAACTGTGCTACATGACCTCTGCATGCTTTCTTAATATTGTCCCACATTGATTCAAGAGTGTGTCTGCAGTGTTGTTGCAACTGACTTCAATAGCAGTTCAGGATTAGCTTTTGTCTGGTGACCTTTGGCCTGCTGCTATCATGCCAAACACGATTGTCTCTGTTAGCTCAGCAGCACGGTGGAGTTACAACATGCAGGTTGGACAAAGTGATCTCCTGCACCTAATCCTCTGCATTAAACTAGTGGAATAATGGATAAGTACCGAGTGACTGTAAAAAACAAAAGTCTTAACTTCATAATACGAGCTAAAAGTTAACCTGACGAGCTTTTTGAGGAAAATCGAACTCATCTCATTTGTGTAAGGTTTGTGCACACAGTACAGTATGCTCTTTGCCTTTCACAATTTGCAACCATGTGTTTAAGTCACCATGTGAAAAACTATAAGTGTCATATATGCTGGAAAATGTACAAATGATGCCTATGCAAAGTGTACACTACATTGTATTAGATCTGGATGAATATGACTATAATGATGACACAAAATATAGTACTTTAAATTGTATAGGATCGATAACCATCAATCCCATATTTCACATAACACTTTTACTTAACTGCTGCAATTTGGTTTTAATTGTAATGTTTTCCATTGGCTGGCCATTATATTGATTTGTAAATTAAACAAACTGCAGAATAGCGTGATAAAAACATGCACTACATTTTGCACATAATGATGCTCAAAGAAAAAAAATAAACTGGTTATTTATAATTATGTCCATAGCTCTGAAGATCCAGGTGAGTGGTGCCACAGCTGACCTGCTTCACATGCTAAGAGGTTACATTCTGACATGCAGAGGAACACTTCCTGTGAAGGTGACATTATATATATGTGTGTGTGTGTGTGTGTGTGTGTGTGTGTGTGTGTGATATATGACCTGTGTTGAAGAATATTGAGATATTATGTCTGCTACAGTGACAAACACAGAACCATCTGCACAGCATAATAAGCCTCCTATGCTTTTATTTTTATTAGGAAGGCAGACTGTAGTCATTGGACCCTTTATACTGATAGGTATTTCTATTATTTTGTCCACTCCATTTATATCAATCAGGGTAGGCCTAATGACAGAAACACTTCTCTCAGCAGCCTCCAAAAATGGCCATGAAGTTGAATCAACACCTTTCTAAAATAGTTTCAACAAAGACTGAACATTGTAACCTTCATGAGAGTAGGAGCTGTTGCAGGACTGCTGTATCGAGGTGCACATATCAAACTGGCTACTGAGTGTACACCCACAGCATCTCTCAAAATAAACCTCACTAGCATGATAAGCTGTGTTGCATATAATGCTATTTCTACCTTCTTTGTGCTGTCATGGAGGTAACCGTTTCTTTAAAAAAAGGGTGTGTCTGGTATTTGCTTTGTTTTTCAAGGAACCATCATTCAGTTCTACTGGCTTCTATTCACATTGTAACCTAAGACCTCTTTTAGGGTGGTGCCAGTGTTATGATGGGGGAGGGGTTACTTCTCAGTCCCAAAGGACTGGGCGGCTGACACTTGTGATGTCTTGCTAAGAGATGGCCTCAGCTGCTGCTCTCTGCACCCCATCAAACCCTAATGGCTTTATTTAAAATTCAAAGGGACACATGCTTTGCAATATGACTCTCTTCTCTTTCTCATTCACTCTCTCATTTTTCTTGACCTAACAGGGAAAAGGGGACATGACAACATGGTGGCTTGAAGCAAAGAGAGACGATTATACAGACCCGCTGCTCAGAACATCTGAATCCAGAGGAGTCCTAGTGCCAGTTAGTGACTAGTTCAGAGCCTAAACTGTAACAATCACTGTATGAAAACTGGTCAGGCTTTGTGTTGTGCAATGTAATTGTATCCAGTGAAGTCTGTTTTGGTTAAATGTGCAGATACAATTATAGGATGAACTAATAGTTTATCATTAATTTAAATAGTGCACTGTAAATCCCAAAAAAATATGCAGAGAGACATGCCAGAGTTATGGAAATGCTATTTTTGTCACATATTATCCTTATAAATGTTCTCTCATATCTAGCTTTATTTGTATTTTTGCAATTGTAGGCACTTTTCTTTCTTCTGATTAATTTAAAGTAAAGGAGATATTCACTGCCTGAAAATTAAGAAAAACCTTTTCTTAGATAAAGATCTTAGATGAAGTCCATTGGAACATTTCAAACATTTTGACTAAGAACTGGTATCTGAACAGGCCTTTTGCACAGGGAAAACACAGGTGTAATGAATAAACTTGATAATAGCTATTTTTTCTTTGTATTTGATAATTAGGGCCCCAGTATTGCACATGATTGCTCACTCATGCTACTTTTAAATTAAAACTCCGAGCCATTGCTAATGATATAAGTTTACTTCTGCTTTTTTTGCAATGAAAAGTCTAAATGTCTGTTGAGAGAAAAGGTTAATTTCCCCCACAATGGGTGTATCAGTACTTTGGAATCAAACTCTTCCATTCAAGCTACTTGTGATTTCCAAATGATGTTATTTGCCTTGTTGATGCAGAATAAATTTGATACAATTATCTAAATAAAATAAGAATGCACAGTTGACAGTCGTCATTTTTGGAAGGTGTTTCTTACTGTGCCGTGCAATGAGTTATTTTACTGTCTTGTTCTGAAATTTAGTGATGTATAATTTGCATTAAAGTTACTCTAAAGTAATTTCGTTCATTCATACTGTTTACCTAATTAACTTTCACCGCTTAATGTTAGTTAATTAATTGGAACAATTCACATTTTTGAAGTCTTGCTGCTTACACATTCAAATGACGTTTCTGAATACAGCACGATAAATAGATCCTTATCTTATTTGATCAACAATCAACAATATAATGTCATAATACAAAAAGTTAAAAAAAAAAAAACAATTTCAAGCGTTCTTCATTCGTGTCCGTGTGTTCTAAACAATAACATTGATCAAGCATGATTAAATTGGCATTAAATCTTGAAGTACCTTACAGACAAGAGCCAATCATATTGAGCCGTGCTCGGTTGCTAGACAACGATTCGGCCAATCAGCGTGCTGTTTGGTTTGCTTGCAGTCAGTGGCGTGAACGGTCGTTGGGACAGACAGTTTCGGAAACTGCTGTACCTTGAAGCAACGCGAAATTGGGAGACAGATTTTGAAAATGCAACGTGAAGTAAGTAGTATGTTGGTCATTTTAAACGTCCGCTTTCGTAACTAGTCGCTAAGATAACCAGCCGCTCTTCTTCAACGTCAGATTGTTCTCAGGTGGAGGCTCTGGTGGGCAGTCATGTTCTTCGAGGCTATCCCACGGTTATCTGTTTGTAACTGTCTGCAGACCTGTAGAAGCAAAGTTACAAGGTTTTTATTTGTTATTATACGACAGGGTTGCACACAGACTTTAGATTGTAGTTTCAATTTGTTACATAGGAAATAAAACATAAATGTCTCTCAAATTAAAGGCATATTCGTATCATACATGGCCCAGTGAGATCACATACCTTAATTACATTCTGTAAATTCTACTTCAACATTTTGGAGATTTTATACAGGAAATAAGTTTGATTCAGTTAAAGGTTAACACTTGTTGAGTGGTCAGTCTAAGCAGCTCATAGGTTTGTTAAGCTGTGTGGCTCAGGCTTGCCATCTGTCCACACCAGGCTGATTAAGTATCACTAAAACCAAAGGGTAGGTCCCCTGAGTTATTAATGAGTCACAGCCTCCTAGTGACTGAAATCTATGAAAAATCTAACACATAAAATGTTCTTCGTAATATAAGCGTAAACATATTTTTAAATGCAGTTTCTGCTCATGCTCTGAAAATTGCTGTCCCCAATAATGAGTAAATGGTACTGTAGTTTCCAGTAATATCTATATACTATTAGTAGAAAACATAGGCATTTGTACAGGGGGAGAATATTTCTGATTGTGTGGTTCTGCAGAGAAATTGCCTGTCTTGGATTAGTCTGATCAGCTGACGATAAGCATGGGGATAAGATGCTGGCCTCGTCCAAGCCTGTAACCTGTTAAATACTCCTGCAGTGACAACGGTGTCAAGCAAAAACCACCACAACAACAACAGCAGCAACAACAACATCAACATAACAATCATATTAAGCTTAGTAAAAGACTTTCTAAATGAACACACATTTTAATATTTTAAATGTATCTATTGGGTGGCTGTGAGCACACTACGTGATCACTGTTTAACTGGTTGAGTTAGCTCCTGTGAATCTGCTGTCCTCACACTGTTATTTAGGTTGCCGTGTGTTTCCAGCCCTTATCGCTGCATGCCTACTTCCTTTGCCTCGTAATCCAGACTTTGTTGGATGGTCACTGCTAATCCGACCCTCTATTTCAGGAGCACTGACTGCGTAGGTCGATCTTGTGGCAAGCTTTGTGTATCATTCACATGCAGTAGACGATCCAGACACGTAGCCTGAAGGCTGCACTGCAACAATGCCAGAGTCCTTCCTGGGTGAGTTAAGATTTTGATTATTATTTTAAGATCCTTATAAACCAGTGAATATGCACTGGGAAGGAGACGCGTTAAACAGTTGGCTATTGTACTCGGCAGTTGTTGATTAGCCCATTTTACATGTATCAGAAAACTGCACAATAATGTATAATGTGATTTTTGACTTCCTGTCAGCATCCTCATTAGTTAGACTGAACTGAAGTACCGCAGTGTTTTGCCTTCAGCAGTTGTGTGTACGTTGCTCACAAACCTTGTGAGTAAGGAACAGGTCAAACTAACACAAATGCTATTCTTAGTTTCTTTAACCTCAATTCCTGTAATATTTACTGTATATAAAGTGGTTTATTGTTCTTGTCAAGCATTAACAAATTAGCATAAGTCCATACTGCATATATTTCACAGAGTTTCTTTCCCCAGAAGTCAAGGACATTTGCAGCAGCTCCGTTGAATGTAGGCCATCTCCCTTGAGACAGTTTAGCCAATCATCGGTGCACAGAAACTACATTCTCAGTATGTTCTGCACGGAGCACAATGTGCAGGAATGTCTATCGCACATCAATCAGGTTGGTAACCATACATGTCTCACTGATGTATTATGAGCACAGTTATTGCTATGTAAGGCATACAATATGTCTGCAATGTTCTTGGTTTGAGTTTGGCTGGTCCTCCACATCCTTTTCTTCTTTTCGTCTCCCTTTTACAGGAGGTGTTATCTCTTGGCCTCCCACCGGTTTGGACGGAGTCGAGCGGCAGCTCAGAGATGAATGTTATGGCTGTGCTAAATTGCATGTATGACCTGATTCAGCTGCACCGCAGGGGCCTCCGGGCCCTGGAAAACATGGAAGTGGAACAGATGAAGTCCAACAGCAATGTGGACTTCTTGCAAATCACCAACACCCAACTAAAAGTACAGTAACATTTACACCCACAAATTCTCAATATTGTATTGAAAAATAACAATATCAATAAAATGTAACTAAAACTAAGGACTTTAAGAGTTGCTTGTCAATATGGAAAATAACTCGTATTAAATGCCCATGACCATGTTGTTCTGTTATCATAGGAGCAGCTTGAGCTGTCCAAAAGAGAAAACACAGGACTTCTTGAGAGAGAACGACAGCTGCATCTGAAAGTGAAGAGTTTGCAGAACTGCCTGAAAAATGAAAAAGACGAGGTACTTTCTTTGGACTTACTGGCCCAGATGATGTTAAGTGAATCCACTGTTTGGTCCCAGGTGGATAAACATGACAGTTCAAACAGTAAAAACTTGTTTTATTTCCTCCTGCCAGGTGCAAAAACTTCAGAACATAATTGCAAGCCGGGCCAGCCAGTACAATCATGAGATGAAAAGGAAAGAAAGAGAATTCAACAAACTGAAGGAGCGCTTGAATCAACTTCTGGTCGACAAAAAGGAGAAGAAACCAGGTTAAAGACAGAACCTTTTTAGTCCCATTTGCCCAAACATTTAACATTTTAAAATATAACCAGCATCTTGAACATACCCTTTGAGACTCTTTCATTTTTAATTTTCTTGCTTCCAGCCATTGATGTATTGAACAACATTGGAAGAGCTGACGGGAAGAGAAGCCTTTGGAAAACTCAAAAGACAGAAGCAAAGTAAGTTCACTTCAAATTTGTTTTGCAAAGTCATTGTATAATATCTATTACCCTTGTCTCAAAAGACATATTTGTATGTGTAAATAAAAAAAAAAATGCAGGAACACAGGAGAAATATAAAAGGCATGATCTGAGAATGTACTATTAATCCTACTTTTGCACATCAGCTCCTTTGCTAGCTTTCTAGGTGACACAGATGTATTTTAGGAACATGGGCTTTAAACATGGTGGCACTGCTAAATGATGGATGCTATTGTGGTTTCAATTAATTTCCTCTGATGATGTGTTCTATTTATAACAAATAAATAAACATAAATGATTGTCTTTTTGACATCCCAAGGCATGAGGGGGAGATGTATAAGACTCTGCTGAGCAACTATGACACGCGACAAAGGGAGATGCTGCTGGAAAATGCAGAGTTGAAGAAAGTGTTGCAGCAGATGAAAAAAGAAATGTTGTCCATTCTGAGTTCAAGGAAACCAATGCTGAAAGATGACAAACATCAAGATGATGGCGTTCAGGTAGGGAGTTGTTTTTCTCTATTCTCTGATGCTACTTTTCAACAGCTCAACAGGCAGTTGTTCCTAAGTCATTGCTCTCACTTCATTGCCCACATCTTCCTCAATTTGAATGAGATGATCTCTGATAAACTGCATTTAGACATTATACAATAGTTCACTTAACAGGGCTATTAGACCACTTTTTCCCGTTTGCTTCCAGTATTGTAACAATACAATTCGGTGGAGAGATTCCTAAACAATTGATTGCAAAGTCACTGATTAAGCAGATTAACACAATAACGACGGCAAAAATGTATCACAATTTTTATTGACAGCTGATAACCATCTCCGTGCCTGTTATTTAGTCTACATTTGTGCTAGATGTGCTACCGATATATTGAAAAATATTTTCATTTTTATTGTCAGGCTGACTCGGAGGAGGAAGAGCAAGTGTTTGATTCCTGTAAAGAAAGTGTAGAGCTGTATTGTGTTCACGCCCGGGAGAAGCTGACCAACAGTATTCGCCTCCAGTGGAGAAGACTCAAGATCCACGTTGAAAGATTGGACAGCCAAGGTAGTCTTCATGCAGCATACTGTCCCTGTTGGATCCTTATACATAACATATATCCATATATGCAACTTTGTGTCATGTAAGGATTCCAGATAGTTTGGATTGTTCTCTAACCCCAAAAATAAGCTTATGTGCCATTTATGTGGCAAAATAGAGTAAAGTCATACAAGGAACCTTGTTCAACCTAAGAGAAACTACCAGAGCACTGGAAGCTTACAATATATTCTAAAGCCAAACATCTCAATATATAAAGAAGCAACCAATATTCATGGACTTATTTTCCAATGACATTCCACTCTGGATCCGTACTTCCGGTCTGTTAAAAACAATACATAGAATATGGATATAAACACAAGTGTTAAATGTTTGATTTTGACTCTCTGGGTTGTTTGTTCAGCATCTTTAGCTGAGACGGGGGAGAACAAAACCGATGATGCTATATCCAGAGAGACTCATGAGGAGGAGATGGACAGACTGAAGCTGGAGATCCAGCAGTGCAAAGACTTCATTCAAACACAACACCAGCTCCTGCAGGTAAGACCGGAATGTACCGTGAAATGTTGAGGTTCATTAGTTTAAGTGGCCAATGTTAAAAGTGAAAGTCACATCGCTGAGACAAGTGTCAAATAATCAATAATCCATTTGAGAAAGAGGTGAAGAAACACTTGACAGTTTTACATTCAGACCTGCTGGTTTCGAATATAAGTTGACCTCTAACATGGTAGCTTTAACTCGGTGTAACTCGTTCTCTCTTTTAGTTTTAACCAAGGATTGAAACCTTGTTTGCATGTTGGAGGAAATACATATTGTATTACGTTTGTGTGTTCCTTTTGTTAATTTCTAGCTAAACAAACCATACATATTTCTTTTTTCTCGTAGCAGCAGCTGAGCTCTCCGTGTGATGAGGAGACCGCATCCCTGCTGAGCGACTGCTACATGCTGCAGGAGAAAGAGCGCTTCAGAGAGGAGTGGAAGACCCTCGAGGAACAGAGGAAGCTCTTTGAGAGGGAGAGGAGGAACTTCACTGAAGCAGCTATAAGGCTTAGCCATGAGGTGATTGATTAAACATATTTTTCCAGAATTGGTCTGAAATAGATATTCGGGAATACGACACATTTTGCTCTTTGTGTAGAACAGCAGTGTGCCAAGATGACTAGGTTGTATCTGTATGCTCACTTCCGCCAAGACATTTGAAACTCAGACAATTTTCCCTTCCCGCCTCAATTCCGATCTCTTCTCCACTCAAAGCGACTTTGAGTTCTTGAAAAGCGCTGTATCTCATTTATTGTTATTATTTTATTGTTATTTTAAAAGTGTGACTTTGTTTGTTTTTGAGATAACTTGTATGTGGTTTAACTTGCAGAGGAAGGCCTTCGAGGAGGATCGAGCAATGTGGCTCAAACATCAGTTTTTAAACTTGAGTCCATTTGCTGACGTGAGGAAACCACAGATGTCAAAGTCTAAAAGCTGCTTTTTAATATGTGAGTGTCTACTCCGTTACATTGTACTGGCCCAGTTCACCGTTGTCTTGATATTATTGATAATGATACCTGTAGGTTATCTATTCCTTTATACCACAACTATGATGCAGTTTTATTTAACTAAATCACTTCTATTTTTTACTTTTATTTTGGAGTATGTTTTTATGTTATAATTTGTGTTCCCTACATGTTTATATTGATAACTATCAACACGTAACTTTCCTGGCAAGGATCAATAAAGTTTAATCTTATATTTGCAGCTAAAACAGAGTCAAGTGCAGCGTCGGGTCCAGAAAAGCTCATCAAATGCCAGTCTGACACAACCTCCCCCACACCCAGATGTATCCCCCTCACATCACCATCAACAGCAGACCTGTATCGCACACTTGGCCTTATCCCAGGAAAAAGGTATAGTATCTTTATTTGCACAAATCATGACATACCTGTAAAGAATGCAGCTCTTGTGTGTCATATTTTATTTTCAGATCAACCAAACCAAATGGAAAGATTGACCATGTTCAAGAATCAAGCCTCTGTTTTAATGGAAGTGTTCCAGTGCAGCATAAACAGTGGAACGACCGTGAAGACCACAGCAGCCAAACACACCAGAGGGAAAACACCAGCTCTATATGAAGCCAAAAACTATAATTATTATTTTCAAACACTCTTAAACAAGATGGACTGTAAAATTATTTAAAAGCTGTTAACAGTCAAAGCCAAGCAAGAGTTCTGGTTGGCTGATGGTTTGCTGTGCTCTGTGTGACTGAGAACCTCTTCTTTCTTTTTTTTTTATATCTTACGGTATTTATTTTTAGATTATGTGATAAATGTATTTATTTATATGTGTGTTACTATAATTATTGGTTTGGCAGTCATGTCTTATGTCTAGGATCTTAATCTGAGGCTAGTCTTTAATTGATGTTGCTTGTTACTCGTTAATGGTCGCTGTTGCACCTAAACTTGCCTAAATGTTGCTGTTTATATCTCAACTTTAGTTATCATGTTAAACTTGTCCACTGGCACAATGTTTTAGAATGTAGATGTAATGCTGCTGTTTCACTGAATGCAATAAGAAACTGGATAAAAAAATGAAGTATTTTCCGATGGTTTATTGTAGATATGTGGTTAATAACATTGTTATCTAGTAACTGTGTCAGATACATTAGTGGCAGTTGATGTATGATGTAGCACCGGTTCAGAGACTACGCACCGGACTGTGAAGCAAAGTGAACGAACTGACCAAATAAACGCGAGGCTTCACGCTACCTGGTGAGTATTTTTCAGTTGAAAAAATATATAATAAACGACTATGGTCACCGGTGGAAAGACGTTCAAAATTGGTTTCAAAAGTGAAAGTTTTTTCACCGACTATTTGAAGACGTTTGAACGTTCAAATTTAGACCATATTTCACCAGGCTTTGCAATAGAGGATGTTTTTCATCATCTACATTGTGCAAATAATAGCATATAGTCATTTTAGCCCATAAGAACCCAAACCCATTTTTTCTTAAAGGAAAATTATAGGAGATATAAAACAGACTAAATGCACTACATGGAACACATTTCTGAAAATATGTTCTGAATGCTACCCCCTAGAGCCAAAGATCTGACATGTTGTATTGATGTCACAATGGGCATTTACATATAAATGTATTCCTCATTTGAAAATCAATCAACTTGGACTTTTTTTTGCTTAGTAACAAAGATATGCCTTTTTATTTGCATTCCCACAACACATAACAAAATTATAACTTTGCTGGTTAGGTTTAACCAAATCCATCAGAACTATGTTGTAAACTTGAGAAAACATACACATGGAGACAATTTCTTTCCTTGGTGAAGCAAAGACGAACATTACATTTTTCACAGAGGGTGGTGTTTGCATTGACTTTGCAAAATTTGCAACGGCCACATTTGTCACATTTCACAGGCCGGTGTGCCACCTGGTTAGTGCGAACATCATCTGGAACTCCAACATGAAGTCTCTTGGGCGGTGGTGGTGGAGAGGTGGCATTAAGTGTTGGGCAGTCCCTTTGTGACTGCAAAAGAATCAGGCTAGTGGCAACCTCTGCCTGGAAGCTCCTTTGTTTCAGTGGCTTTTGGACACCAAGTAGTTTACAGTCAAGGCGATAGATCAACCATGCATTGACAAGGCCTAACACGATGGTTTGCCAGAACAGGTAGGTACCCCCTCTGTGACCTCATGTGGTACTTGTACCTTGCAAACCAAGCATCAAGGAGGTCTATTCCCCCCATGAATGTGTTGTACTCTTTCACATGCGCATCACAAAGTGATGTACAAACAAGGAGAGGGTCAAAACATTGTTGTTTGGCATACAGCAACATACAAACATAAAGTATTATACTGTGTAATATCCCAGTGAGCATCTTTCCGTTGAAAAGACGTTTAAAAAAACGACTATGGTCACTGGTGAAAAGACATTCAAAACTGGTCCAACGGTGAATCTTTTTTACGAATACTTTTAGTTTTATTTACAGTTGTCTGCCTTGAATATATGGCAGACCACCTGAAACCGGCTCCTGTGTGGCTTTGACAACGACAGTTAAAGAAGGAAAGGGAGATGTTCATAAATATGGTCTAAATGTGAACATTCAATCAACGTCTTCAAACCAATTTAGAATGTCTTTTCACCAGTAGCCCTAGTTGTCTTTTAAATGTCTTTTCAATGGAAAAAATGCTCACCGGGACAGAAGAAAGTGTAGTTAAGCACACTGAGCCTTGCAGCTGCAGGCGAGGTGGGCTTCTGCTTTTTCCCCTCAGGTCCACGCTGTTATCGTTGATGCTGCTAAGACTCTCTGGATGATTCAGGGCAGAATCTGCAGAAGTGAAGGGAGCAGAGCAATTGGTAAGAACATTTCGCAATAAACTTTGATCGTGTGGCTGCTACTGCTGGAAGACGTTGCAATATATCCACCGATAATACCAGTAGTAAGTAAGCTGTGTCATTGAGGTTCATTTGAGCTCCAGGCCACATAACGTGTGTACAAAGCTATCGCTTCTCTCATTTCAGTATTTGAGATTCATACCCTTGGAAATGTGGGTATGAGAGCAGGTTAGAAAACTGGTACTATCTGCTTTCTTTGAGAAATTTGTCGTCAGAGTTAACATTGGGTCCAATGGAGAATTGGCTTGGAGTTCATGTCACTTTCAGGCTCACAGAGCCAAATGGGTAAGTCTGTTGGATGACATAGACACATTTCTGCAACCAGCACAAAATTACATAAGTTTTGACCAAAAAGGGTCTTGTTGCGCCACAGCCACAATGAATTATGTTATTTGTCGCCACATTTTTATATTCAGTCACTCGAACCTGTTGACTTACCAGCAGGCAGGCAGTGGAAGCCAACAGTGACGGCGGTGGTCTTCACAGGGAAACAGCCGGGCAGACAGCGCAGCACAGGCTCAACGGAGTAGCATCTTGATTCCTGGCCATGGTCGTTTACCTGTCGCTCAAGCTGCACAGATTCGAGCTTCATACGGCACTCTGAAAGAGAAAGGTGTAATAAGTGAGTTTCTGCTAGATTCAGTGCATCATAACATGTCTAATAGAGCTGCTTTAACCATATGCAGTTATATAACAATTGGAAAAGTATGTTAGTGTAAAAGTAATACCACAGTCAACTTTTTGTCTCACCAGTGTTGTCCCTGCAGCTCTCGCCTGGCAGAACCCAGGAATGGGCGTAGCTGACTGCGTTCTTGGTCAAGCGTCCATTAGGTGTGCGGTACTCTTGTCTGATTTCCCCATCAGCCTTTCCACAGAGTCCACAGGTCTGTCCCTTCATCCAGTCCACAACTTTAACCTGCATTGATTACATGAGACATTACAGACCATCAAATATACAGTGTCAGTCAAATTAATCAAAAGTTTAAAAGCTTTTTGAAAGTAGTCTTAATCTTTAAAATAAATATGTTTAAATTGTATATCTATTTTTAAAATTGTCCATAGTTAGTGTTGCATTTACCGTCCATGAGTTCTTGTCAAAATAGACTTCCTGAAGACCATGGCTGGGAGCGTACACAGAGATGCCTTCACCCTTTGGCCTGATCTGGATTTTAGCTTTAAACAAAAAATTGTTTCAAAGTAAATTACTTCAATCCAATTTAAAGACCTTACATACAAATAATTTGACCAACTTTGAAGTCTTAAAAGACCATGACGTGTACAACATGTTGGTACAACTGTACATGATTTTGAGGGTGGGATGAATGTGCATAGAGACCTGTGGGATGCTGGTGTGGCAGGTTGTTGATGGGTATTTCCATTCCATTGACCTTCACAATCACGTCAGTGTTATTCGGGTACAGGTCAATATCACTAGTGTAGAAATTAAAATGTTACTTAGTTTTGTCTGCTTGTGGATGAAAACCACAGTTCTTGTTTTTATTGAAACTCACATGTCAGCAATTTTCACATTGATATGGTTTTGTTCAATGTGACCCTTCTTCAGCAGAACCATGAATTTCAGCTCATCGGTACAATCATGTGCCAGAACTTGGTAGCAAGACAACGGCATCTGGTTCTTGTATCTCCTGTTGTTGAATGTGGTCAGTGTGTCTTTGACCAAGCTGCATTTAGCTGTGAAGGATAAAAAAAAATAGTTGTAATCCTTAGCAGAGAGATATCTGTCAGTGCAGTTCATATTAAACAATAAGGTCATTCATTACCTGGTCCAGCCTTGGCAAACAAGTAGTGGACTTTATCAGCAAGGCCATCGAAAGGGGTGAGACCTTTGATTTCATTAAGTGGCATAGCGATTGGAAGATGCAAAGCCAGCCTATAGACAGTATGCTGTAGACAGAATAATTCACATTAGAGAAAATGTAAAAACAAACATGTCATATTTTGGGAGAAATACTTAATTATTCATACTGTCTGGGTTTTCAAAATGAGGTCAATAGTTCTGTCAGATGTGGCAACCAGTGTAAATGAGAGCTGATTGCCACTGTTTTCACCCTTTCCTTGTATCAAGCCAGCCAGCATGGAAGCAGGAATGTAGTCATATATCCTGTAAAAGATTTTCCACATGTGAGACATTTTCCACAGTCTATATTACATGTGAGTGGGCTAAAGATTCATACTTTTTTGCATAGCGTTTAAGTTCAGAAGGCAGTGCGTTCCAGGCCACTCTGAGGCGAGCTGCAGTGCTTGGACCAAGAAGACCAGTCTCCGCTGTGATCATCGTGTCGTATTGCTTGCATTCTGCTCCCCATGCAATTTTAGCCTATTGACAGACAGCATAAGGGATGATAAGACAGCTGGTTTTAACAGTAGCCTTTAAATAGAATGTCCTAATATCTATGATATAAGCAAGACAATATCTTACTGTGACTTTGTGCTTGCTAAGCAGAACTCTATCAGCACAGAATTTAAGCTATACTTTGTTTGAAAATACCACCCTTTTTTGCTAGTATTTGCAAATATAAAGTCATTATTTTACATAGGAAAATAGAAAAACAAATGTGCCTGGTTTTTACAGTTCAACTGTTGTTTTTTATACAATGTTTTAAAAGAAATAATTGATTGATTGAAAATGAATGACAAGATCTTTATCTAACTGAAGAGAAGATTTCAGTTGATTTCTGTCATGCTCCATACTCAAATATAATCTACTGCAGGTGTTGGATCATTTTTGTCTTTCCGTATTCATATAAGTGCTATTGAATGTGTGTGGCCACATTTAAAAAAAGTCATATTAATTCATTCTGTGAATTTGTGTGGCACCTCTTCATCATGCTTTCGTAATGCACTTTCAAAGTTCAAACAAGAGGGCACAATGACTATGGTTGTTTGCTCACTTTATTTGTTGTGGTCAGGGTGACCGCTGACTTCGTGACAGTTCAGAAGGTCTGTGGGCTTTGTGCTCGACACCTTTTTAACTGTAAAATGGTCTGGAAGTGTTATTGCCATGTATCAACAGAAACTGTTGCTTTGATCATCTTCTAGAAGTTAGTCCTTCTATTTCTTGAAAATTCCCACTTAGAAGGTGCAATGAAAATATTTGGCCAGAACTTTAGTTTAAAACATTATAAAAATGAACTATCATCATGAACAGAATGTGAAGACGTGTGCTGCAGAGTCAAGGGGTTTCTGTGGCTCAGTAGTAGAGCGGGTCGTCAATCAGAATCAGAACCGTTTATTGCCAAATCTTCAATCAAAGGATTGGCCTGTTCAATCCCCGGCTCTGCTAGTCCATGTGCGATTTCAGACAGTAATAATTTACTGTAACATGAACAGTACTGTTTCAGAGGTAGACTACCGAGACTTAAAGGTAAACAGGGCAAAGAAAGGGGCCGGTTCTTCTTTTTAAATTTATAATCTTATGAAGCCATATTCTTCCTGACTTTACAGTTTAGAGTTTTGCAACTTTTTACCACCAAAAATGATAAGAAAAAATGTTTGTCAATGGAGAGATTGTGAAAGAAGAGGAACAGTGTGCTGCAAAG